CCCCCCTCCCCCTCCCCTCCTCCCCCGCACGCCTGTCCTCCACCCGCGTATTCGACGCGCGCGCGCGCACGCGTGCACGTACGCGCATCCACGTGCGCAGTGCCGTAGTCGAGCGTATCGACGGGAGCGTATCGAGTGCATTTTGCGCCGGTGGAGATTTCCTTTGTCTCCGTCACGTGTCTGCACCCGTAACGCCTCGATCGAATCTGTTACAGGCACGAGATCGCGATGGCTCGGTAAAAATCGCCTAAGGAACATGACGATTTTCACGAGAATTATGAACCGGTGTATACCCGGCTCGTAAGAATTAGTTGGAAAATTTTTTTTTATTAACGCGTAAATTCTTCGTCTAAAAGGATATACACGCTTCATTCCGGCGGAACCAAGATTTTTTTTTTCTTCGAAAGGCGGAGGAAAAAAACTCCGCCGCGCGAAGCAAAATTTCCTCGCCGATTTTTGTTCTTCGGCTATTCGCTAGCCGTAAGATTTACGAGAGATCATTATAGATATTTATGAACGATCATACGTCTTACGGTATACGTATAGAATTATAACTCTGGTCATGAGTTCCTACAAGACTTAATTACAAGTTCTTACAGGAACAAATTACGAGCCTTACGATTCTACTTAAAATTGACTCATACATAAGCCTCTGAAACGTGAAGATTGCAATTGGCACGAATTAAAGTTTGTCGAAAGGTCATGCACGCGCGTTGCGCGACACGTGGACCTAAATCCTCGAACCTCACGTGAAAACTGGTTTCTTTTTCCTTTTTTTTTTTTTCCTTTTTTCCTATTGAACTCGAGAACTGGTTTCACTAGGAGGGTAAACGATAACTCATTCGAATTATGAAGTCGAAATTACACATTTACAATGTGTAGCTCAGCGGATATCGTCGTTCGGTCCAGATAGACGTGGACGACTTTGACCTACTCCATCGATGTCTCTCTCTTTTCTTAAATTCCGGTTAAATTACCGCAAAGTAATATATCCGCGACGAAGGAGAGAAACGAAGCGAACAGTTTCTGAATAAAAGATCTATGCAAACCCGTATATGTCGCCCGTGTCAATCGCACGAAATTGCCCTCTCGGGGCACGTACCACACGTGCATATGTACCATTTATCAAATCCAGGCTGAAACCTTTAAAAATTGCGGATTGTGGCCGACGTGCGAGCCAAATACTGTTAAACGTCGTCTCGCGCACGCGCCCGAATATCCACGTCCGTCGGCATACGTCCGCACATGGACCTAGATCTCAGAGCGGTAACACGCGCGAGGACCCGGTGGCGCCGTTGGTGCATCGCGTCGCAGTGCACACCACGTGACGTCACCACGAGCGGCACGTGCCCCTTCCCCTGCCCGCGCCCCCCGGTGCCCTCGAATGCAGCGTCGCTCGGTGGCGAGGAGGCGCGGCGGGGCGGAACGGGGTGCCAACAACGAGAGGGGGCGGTAGAGGTGCGGAGGAAGGTAGTTAAGGTCACCGTGGCCCTGACTGCACGCGCGCGAAATAATATCGGTGTGCTACCGTACGTGTATGCGTGTGTGGGACGCGCGCGCGCGCGCGTGTGCGCGTGTGTGTGTGTGTGGTATGTGTGTGTGGGGGGGGGGGGCGTGCGCGTGCACGGGTGTTCACGCGCACATGCATGCCTCTGTGTGGGAGCGCGCGCGGAGAATGCACGGAAGATTTATTTCTAGTTCCGCGTGCTGCCGCTTTTCTAACCAAGGTTTGCCGGTTAGATGCACGAGTCGCACGAGTGTCCCAATGGCGGACCTTGACCGTCGGCACCGATGTTCGGACGGTCGTCGTCATACCGTCTGGTGATCGCTGCAGATCTCTCTAGCGATACTGCGACGAAGTTTTCGATTATCGCTCACAATACTAGCGACTCCTACCCGGTCGCCGCTCGACACTGTTACGTCACGCGATGTATCTTTCCGTGACGATGCTATTATTTCAGCTCAAAATCAGCCCCTCTCGAAATGAGTGGAATTTCAAGAAGGAGATGCACTGGCGACGCTCGCCAGCGTAATCGTAACTCGATCGAAGGACTTGGATACGAACAATGAGCTTGCAGATCTGCTTGTAATTATTACGGAAAAGGAAAATATGTATTTAAATTGTTTTATTAAATGTTTACATTTATTTCGTTTAAGGTACGAATGAGAAAAATATTAAACACTACTTTTTTTTCGTGGCTATATAGCCATAACATGTTTCTGACCAGATAGAAAATAAGCAGCTCTGCCTCTTACAATCGAAATTGGTACGAGAGAAAGAAGAGGAAAATCTTCAGAAAAGCTTGCTTTTCTTGTAAAAGAGGATTCCTTCTATTCGTTCTTCTTGCTTTTTAAAGGGAAGGACTTCCTTTTAAATGAATTTTTTACTCATTGTATTATCTAGATGTACGTTTTTTGTTTTTTTTTTTAACCAAACGGATTTACGATTTTTGCTTTTACGAATCGAAGTACGAATTGCAAGATCTAAAAACAGTTATTCAACTCTTCCGCTTTGTATCATATTTGTTTGTATCGTTTTAACGTTTCCTTGCGCAATATTTATGAAATTTATCTGCACAGCGTAAATTCTTTATATCATGTAACACGTTCCCATGTTATCTCCCGGCAAATCGCGCGGTCGCGCAAGGCGAGAAAGAATATTCTGACGTACATGCACGATCGAAACTTGAAAATGCGTCCGTGTCTCGAAGCGCATCGGTTTGACGTGGCCGGCATTTGCGTGCATCGCTTCCGCGAGTTCTGGGCCGCCGGGTCGTGTTCTGACACGTTCGTCCACCTTACGTAATACGCGTTGCGTAAACTTGACGTTAGCCGTAAATGCTCGCCATACATATTTCCGCGCGCCCGGCAACAACTACGATTGGGGGGGGG